AGCTCTTGAAGAGGTAGACTAGCAGATGTAGTGGGTTGTAGGTGGTACTGTCTATCCAGAGTAGAGAGTTAATGCTTCAGAAAGACTGTGTCTCGAATCTCCAACAATGGATGCATTCGAGTCTTGTGGGGAAAAGTGCGCAAACCTCTGCAGATTGTACAAACTAATAATGGTTAGCCGTGTCCCCGGTTATGGACATCTTGAGTATCTGGTTCATGGATTATCATGTTGGTCTCATCACTCTAAATATAATTTGGTTGGGTTTAATGATGCTGTTTAATTGGGATTGAGTTGGAGGAACCTTCTCAATGTTTAACAACCACCATGATAGTTAAATAAAATTTATTCCTTTGTTGTAGGCAAAATTGGCTTTATGCAAAACTGTAACCATAGAGCTTTCCACCAGCCTTATATGCATTATTCTGTTCATTACTCTATGTGTTACATTGCCAGCATATTCCATGTGCTGACCCGTTTCGGGCTACAACGTTCATGTTGCAGACTTTTTAGACAACACGTAAGGTGCCATAGGTCGTTGTCTTTCACTCAGTGATGCCGTTGGAGTTGATGGACTCACTTTATCTTCCAAGCCTTCCACTGTTATCGTTTTTAGATGGCCTTAAGCCATATTATTGTAAGAAGTTCTCTTTTGAGACATTCGATGTAATAAGTGTGTGATTGCTACTCTGTTATAAATCCTTGAGTACTGTAGGTGTCAGCATTACCGATCCAGGGATGACACTGATGCACAGAGACAGACTATTTGAGGTCTGGTCGCTATAGCCGGCCTCCCCCTCCCTCCTTTATATACGGGGGCAGGGGGCACCCTAGAACACACAAGTTTCTCTTAACCATGTGCGGTGCCCCCCTTCACAGTTACACACCTCTATCATACCATCATAATGCTTAGGCGAAGCCCTACGCCGATAACATCATCATCACCGTCGCCACACCGCCATGCTGACGGAACTCACCCTCGTCCTCAACTGGATCAAGAGCACAAGGGACGTCAATGAGCTGAACGTGTGCTGAACACAGAGGTGTCGTACGTTCGGTACTTGATCGGTTGGATCGCGAAGAAGTTCGACTACATCAACCGCATTATTGAAACGCTTCTGCTCTCGGTCTACGAGGGTACATGGGCACACTCTCCCCTCTCGTTGTTATGCATCACCTAGATAGATCTTGCGTGATCGTAGGATTTTTTTTGAAATTACCGCGTTCCACAACAGAAACATCATCAACATCTACCAGGTTCCTAATCACAAATCTCATCTCCTTGCAATTTACATTATTTGCCATTTGGCTCTTGTTTCCTCTCCCCCACTTCACAAAAAATTGCCGTTTTTATTCGCCCCTCTTTTTCATTCGCCGTTTTCTCGTCAGATCTTTATTCGCTTGAACTTGTCACCCTAAGTGACTTTGGTATGGTAGAAACAGATAATGGCCTAACTCCTAAAATGGAACAATCTAGCAATCTGGATGCTAAAACTTTTGTTTTGGGGCAAGGGAATGTTATAGGAAAATAACGTATCCAAGAATTTTTCAATTGTGTTGGAAATTTAAGTCTTGACGATGTTCCTATACTTAAAAGGACTAAATCTTATGTGGAAGCTATTTCAGCTCTAGTTCTAAAACTTGAAAATAAATTTATCCATACCCATCCTACATTGAAAAGATTGTTTTATGGGCTACCCATTATAAAGAATCCCAAAGCAAAAAAGTTAGCTACCCCTATTCTTATGAATGAATTTGATTACATAATACGGGAAGCTAGGGAAATATTTGATTTTTATGGCATGAATTGTGAAAAGCGGGTTATAGATGAAATTCTTTATAATAGTGATTATGTGCTAAGACATTTGCTTGGGGATAATCATATTTTTGATGAGAATCTTAGAAAGGAACCCCCTGTCTAGATATAATCCAACAAGTCTTCAACGATGTTAATCAACACTATTCTTGGATTGCTGCCGGAAATCAAAGGGGTTATGATGAGAAGCAACTTGATAGTGCTAATGTTTCTATGGATAATGTATTTTATGTTGTCTTTACAAAACCTCCCAACAAAAGCATCTTTGAGATAAATAGAAACAAAGATGATAATACTTAGATCCTTTGCATTATGCCTAGCTAGGGGCATAAAACGATAGCGCTTGTTGGGAGGCAACCCAATGAATAAAATTTATTTTTGTCTTTTTCTTGCTGTTCTTGAGTGTTTACACAATTATGCTACTGTTATTATTGTGTTTTTATGTTTTAGTTAGTGTTTGTGCCAAGCAAAGCCTTTGGGATCATGTTGGGAGATAGTTGATTTGATCTTGTTGGAAAATAGAAACTTTTGCACCCAGAAAAACAATTTTGAAAAATCACAGAAGCGTGATAAAGCTATGAGTTGTTTACACAATATTGATATACAAATTACACATGTTGTCCTAATTTTTCAGAATTTTTAAAGTTACATAAGTATTCGAAGTTTTCAGATTGCTACAGACTGTTCTGTTTTTGACAGATTCTGTTTTCTTTGTATTGTGTGCTTGTTTTGATGATTCTATGGTTTCCTTTGAAGAGTTTTTGCCATAGAAAAGTTAGAATACAGTAGATATAATGCAAAAATAAAATATGAATGGGTTTGCAACAGTACTTAAAGTAGTGATTTGCTCTCTTATACTAACGGATCTCATGAAGGTTTTGTTGAGTTTTGTGTGATTGAAGTTTTCAAGTTTTGGGTGATATTACGATGGATGAAGGAATGAGGATTAGCAAAAGGCTAAGCTTGGGGATGCCCGAGGCACCCCAAGATAATATTCAAGAAGTATCAAGCAACTAAGCTTGGGGATGCCCCCCGAGTGGCATCCCTTCTTTCTTCTAACAACCATCGGTATTTTACTTGAAACTATATTTTTATTCGTCACGTATCATGAGTTTTGCTTTGAGCATCTTGTATGATATGAGTCTTTGCTTGTTTTGCTTTGCATTTTAAGTCATGAATCCTTGCTGGACACACCTATTTGAGAGAGCCAAAAATATGCTATGACTTGTTAGAATTGCTCTTTATGCTTCACTTAAATCTTTACGAGCTATGGAATTGCTCTAGTGCTTCACTTATATCTTTTTGAGCATGGTGTGCTTTAGTATTTTTGAAGAAATGCTCTCATGCTTCACTTAGATTTATTTGAGAGTTAGTAATTTTTTTAAAAAATTCTCTCTTGCTTCACTTAAATTATTTTGAGAGAAAGAAATATGATGCTCATGTCTTCACTTATATTTGTTTGAGCTTATCAAAAGCAACATATGAAACTAGTCCCAAAGTGATAGATATCCAAGAATGATATAATAAAAACTTTCATGAAGATCATTGGACAAAATAAACTTGATTCTTTGTAATAGATTTGCGATATGTTGATATAATATGGGAGTCATGTTGATGAGTAATTATGCTTTAGTAGGAATATTTTGGTGTTAAGGTTTGTGATTCCCTATGCAAGCACGGAAGTCAATAGTTATGCAATGAATTACATCCTACTTGTGGTGCATTATTCGGTGTTAGTTATGTTTAATGCTTGCTTATGAGATTTTTCGTTATCAAATAATAAATTACTTTATGTTATCAAATAATAAAATTTCTTGGAAAGTGTTGGTATGGAGGGCACCCGTGGACAACGTCTTATAAAAGTAAACAGAGGGAGTACTAAATTTTTCTCCCCTTCAGAACATACAAATAACTTCCCCTTATTAGATAAAAGAAATAAACAAACAACTACACCAACAAAATGATTTTCATATACTTTGCAACAACATATGTTGTTACCTACTTCGGAGAAAAATAAATTTGTCAATCCATATGGCGCGGCGTGCCGCCACACACTACATGCTAGTAGTTTTTTTTAAAAGTCAAATCTCACAAACTTTGATCAAGTTTTTGAACAAAAACATTTACATCTAAAATGTGAGACATATATCATTAGATTCATTATAATATGTAGTTTCATATTTATATATTTGGTATTATAGATATAAATAATTTTCTCTATAGATTTGGTCAAAGTTTGTCAAGTTTTACTTTTAGAAACATTAGCACTATTGTATTTTCATTGTATTTTCCAAATGATACTAAAAAAACAACACACCATTGTATTTGCACGCTAGTATTTTACAAGTTTATGTGCCAAAGTGATAGTAAAGGACAAATTGAGGCATCCACAATGTATTTAACTCCTTTTAGGAACCACATAAGCTTCAAATAGGGACTTCCTCCGGAAAGCCCCTCTTCAGTGCCATGTGCCTAACAGCGGGCCGTGACCGATTACCGTTTTGCCTGGTGGACCAGATTTTTTTTCATGAATTTGACTGGTGGACCACCGCCCATTAACCGATGACCTATTGATCCTTGACCAATGACTTTTTCAAAAAAAGATAAAAGTTAAAATTTTCTTTAAAAAATGTTCAATTTTTTTGAAGAAGTTTAATGAAATATGGAAAAAATCACGAATTTGAAAAAAGTTCACGACTAGGAAAGTGCATAAATTTGAACAAAGATCACTAAAATGAAATAGTACACAAATTTTAAAAAAAGATTCATAAAATTTTAAAAAAATAACGAATTGAAAACTTCACAAATTCAAAAAAAGTACACGGTTCGTTAAAAGTTCACTAATTTCATCACATTTTTTTTACTAATTTGATAAAAACAAAAAAAGGAAAAACAAAGAAGAAAAAGGGAAAAGAAGACGAAATTGAAAGAGAAAATGAAAACGAAGAATTAAAAGAAAATGAGAAAAACGAAAAACCTGTGCTGGGGAAAAACCGCCCAGAAAAAAACGTCAGAATTTCCGGAAAAAACAAAACGGGAGTTGGGTTTCCTCTGGGCCTGAGGCGTGCCGGTGCGTATCGATACACTTGGCTGGGCTGGGCTAAGCCCGAGAGGCTGTATATAACCATCCCCGCCTGCGCTGTGCACTGAAACCCTAGCTGGTGCCTTTGCCTTCCCCTTAACAAAAATGATCGGCGGCGGTTGGCGGCGGGGGGGAGAAGAAAGGGCGACCGACGGTGAGTCGGCGACCGCAGGGCATTCAAAGAGAAGTAGTGGCAAGTCCGTGTTAAGCGAGGAGCTCTATCAGGGTGTCTACATGGCTGCAAACTCCATTCAGGAGAGTATCCTCTGGATCCAGGCCCAGGAGAAGAAGATGGTTGCGATTGGATGTCGCGGGGACTCCGCGGATCACAAGAATCTGTTGGAGTTGAAATCCGGTCTGTCTGAGTTGTTGGAGAAGCTCTTACGTCTTGCCGAATCCGAGACCCAGAGGAAGATCCGCGCGCAGCAGAACGCCTGTTGGATCGGCAATAAAGGGAAGGCTGAGAAGAGGATCCGATCGATGAAATCGATGGATAGCCAGAGCAAGATTGCCGAGGACGCTGAGATGGAATTTGTAGGGAAGTCATCCAAGAGGACCAGCAGCCAAAGCAGATCCGTGAATAAGCAGAGCAAGATTTGCGACGGTGGCAAATCGATCTTCAATCGGTTCAGGGAGCAGGAGCTGCAGGCCATGAAGGAGCTGTTCGAGGAGCTGCCGGACAATATATCGATGTCCATAGCAGCATCTGTCAAAAACATTATTGAGGCCCAGGCGGAGACCTTGATGGAGGAGAGGGCGGCTGGCTTCAAATTAGGTTTGTTCTCCCGGCGGTTCGATGGCCTGTGGGACTCCATGCGTCAGCTAACCTCGACAGAATTGAAATTCCTAGCGATTTCCATGTTTACTTGTGATGAGTCCTTTGTACGCTGCTGCTCCACATTGAAGTCCATCTCAGCAGTTATCGACAGGCTTGGTGATTGGGTGCCAGAATTGACAGGGGTAATAAGACAGACTAAGAAAGATGAAGCTATCCTCATAAGGGATGTGGATGTGGTAATGAGACAGAATAAGGAAGATGAAGATGTCCTCACAAGGGATGGGGATGTGGTAATGAGGCAGAATAAGGAAGATGAAGATGTCCTCTCAAGGGATGAGGAGGAGGAGGAGGAGGAGGATTTGGATGTGCGTACATATGAGGTGGAGAAGAAGGCTGAGGAGTATTATTTCGCTGCTTATCGTAGATACTGGGAACGTAGACATGGCAATGGTTGCAACTTTGAAGACCCAAGTGAGTAAACATGCATGTATGCTATATGGTCTTAGTTTGCTTTTCTTGTTCTACTTCCCTGTCTCAAGTAATCTAATTCGTTACCTTCAAAAACCAAAAAAAAAGTAATCTAATTCGTCTTGTAAGTGCAGAGATTTACTTGACGTGTTGATTCTTTGTTTTTCTTGAATGGATCCTAAAAGCAATATGTGTGCTCTTTAGTTAGTTCACGTTAGATTTCTAACACATCAGTTGGTTGCGTGCAGCGTTATTCAGCCCCATGCAGTTCACCCACTACATGCCAGGCAACGCCGGCCAAACCATAAATGATGCTAAATTATTGAGGACCATGCAGATCTACTCCATTAAAGTGGCAGAAACAAAAGGTATCCCCCTCGAGTGGCCACTGAATGTATATGGTGTGGTTGCTGCCCGAGATGTTGTGGACCATCGTCGCAACCATCTCTTCCTTCGCACTAGGGATGATTGCCAAATCCTTACGGAAGAGGTACTAACGCATATTTGCCTGTTCTTCTTCTTCTTACGGCTTGCAGCTTTGTTGACAAGTTAACGATGAATAATGATGCTTGCAGAATCCTTTTTTGCACTTGACTGGCCCGTCTCGTGCAATTATGTCTGGTGACACTGTTATGATTGAAGTCCAACTACAACTAAAGGGCAGAGTGCAGTCTGAAGATGCAGTATTGATCGGTAAAGCCTTCACTTATGATGATGATGATCATGACGATCATGGTGATAGTCACCTCCAGGGCCTTTGCACAATAGTGTTAAGCTGTGAGCATCTTGAACAATCAGTCCAAGCCACAATCCTCAGTGTCTGTGCTGTACAGGGCTCATTGCCTTGGGGAAATGGCATTGTTTGCTCGGCACTATCTTTAGACAAAACTGAAGTTGGTGTTACAGGCTCGCCTAAGCATGTTTTGCTGTTTGATTCACAAGCTGGAACAATGCCTGAGGATGAAGAGTGTTATCTCGAGCTGTCGAGGAATGTGGTGTCTGTAAAATCAACAAGGGAGCTCACAATTTTCATGAGGGCTGGAGAACTCAGTGGAAGTGTCGTCTTCACACCCCAATCCAGCAACGTAAGTCAAGGACGTTGTAACCTTGGCAATTGTTTAGTGGAGATAACTGTTGCTTGGTCCCTCCTTGTTGAAAGCCAGCATCTTGTCAAGCTGAGAGGATCTATAGAGCCTTATGGAAACAAGTTAAGTACATGTATGCCTTTCATGAAACTTGTTAAAGACGCTTGTTGAAGTTGGGTAAGCATGTTCTTGGAAATGTAGCCATGCATCTGATGTCGTGTGAATACTCTATGTTCCATCCTGAACTTGTCTGCTACTTATTCCTGTACTAACACTATGTTCCATCGTGGACTTGCCTGCTACTTATTCCTGTACTAACACTATGTTCCATCGTGGACTTGTCTGCTACTTGTTCCTGTACGCTACAAGACTAGCTTGCCTAGCTTGCCTCTTAACTGTGATGGTCTTATGTATGTATTTTTTTTCAAAAGAAAAATTAACATTTGCAAAAAACATTTTTGGTGTGCAGGAGCATATGCTCCTAAGAGCCGATTTGGATTTCGGAGCTCTTGAGCCTTATAATAACAAAATCACTACACATACTAAGGGCCTCTTTGATTTGTTGATGTAAAATGAGAGACAGGATCATTCTTCTCATTGATGATGAGATTACACACATATATATAGCCCCCGAAAGGGTGCGACCGAAGGGACATGAGGCAACTGTCTCAGTTAGGAAAAGTAGGGATTAATAGGATTAGTTATATCCTAACACTCCCCCTAATCCATGCTTGTTAGTGCAAGTATCATCATCTTGAAAAGCTCCTCCAAAAACCCTGTGGGAAAAAAAAATGAGGAGATAAGTGTTTGATATGTTGCTAAAACTCCTTCGAACCCAGTGGGAAAATAAGAAGAAAATGATATAACATATAATGGTTATTGTCTTTTTAACTCAACGACGATAATAAGTATGTCACATATACTTTCTTGAAAACCCCAGTGGGGAAAACAAAAAATATGACATATGGTCTTGTGTTGATATTACCTCATTGAAAACCTTTATGAGAACCTATAAAGTGAACTAATGAGCGAACCAACCTGTGGTTGGATGGTTAGAGGGACTGTGGTATCCCAACCCACCAGGGTTCAAATCCTGGTGCTTGCATTTATTTCTGGATTTATTTCAGGATTTTCGGTGATGCCCATTCAGTGGGAGGAGACGTTCCCGTCGACGACGAGGTGCCTACGGTGACTTCGTAAATTTCAAGATGATATGCCGGCTCAGTCTTTCAGAGGTGCTCATAGGGATAGGGTGTGCGTGTGTGCGTTCATATGGGTGAGTGTATGGGCGTGTATATGAGCGCTTCTGTCTGTACTGATGTTCAAAAAGAAAGTAAACTCATGAAGGGAAAAAGAGTATAATATGATGCTTTTAATAGGAACAATTCAAGAAGATACTCCCCCTGATTCTTGCATATTTCGAAGTCGTCATATACCAATTCCATGAACACATTTTTGGAACGTAGAAGTTGGTAGAGACCTGGTGAAGAAACCAGTCGCATGATTTGACTTGCAAAATATGCAATATAGTGATATTGCTTATTATGTAACCTGTTTGCATTCAGGCAACAAAAAAGATTATCGTTGAGATAATGATTGGTGGATGTAGCCATGAGGTCTGTTTCAAAGACTCTTCATGAGAGGGCTACCACACCTAGTAGGAACCCTAAGCTTGTCTACGATCTGACATAGTGGGGACCTGATCGATGTATCCAATGATATCGGTGTTCACATTTTTATGAAACTGAAAAACCAGGACAAGATGTTTGATGTCTTGGAGATATCCAAAGATATTCTTGGGTACCAACCAATTGTATTTGGTGGATCCAATGGCATTATGAAACGTTGAGTCCCAATATCTTATTTTCATCATCTCTTGGTCTAAATAGATCTTTCTCTACGTCTAGAGAATGAACTACCATGAGAGTTATGGATGGATAAGATTTGTCCACAATGAATTTCTCCAATATATTATGGATATAGACAACATAGTATACCATAATTTATGAATGAAGGTGCTCAATTTGTAGTAACGAGCGGTATTTTGGTTTACCCAAATCCTTCATTTAGACTCTGTCATTTAGATGATTACATGTGTCATCATTGCAGACATACAAACATGGATAATCATCGTTGTAGGAGTAATCCTTGTGTATAAGGATCTCACTACGTCAGTTGTACCATATGTACCGACAACAATAAGTCGTATGATGACTTACTGATTTTACACAATGTATGTTGCATTTTGTATTTCGATTCAAAATTGATATTCCATCGGGAATCAATCATATATGTCTAAATCTAGTGACCCACATGGATATGTAATCACTACATCTATCAACTGCAGAGATATATGATTTTGTACTGCCAATGATATAAGTTATCGGAAAGAGATTCCACCTCTGGAGAATAGTTGGGTATCTGCGTGAACCCTTGTGCTACAATACTTGCTCTTTGTTTCACCACCTCGTTGTTCTCAATTATGTTTCCAGAAGAAAACTGGTGTAGGTATTGCTTATGAATACCTCCACATTATTGAGCAAAATCATTTCTACCTAGATTATACCCTTTGCTTGAGTTCAGTCCGAGTGTTGTTCACACTTTGCCAGGGTCATGGTCTTTGGATCTGAATCATTTGAAAGGTTTTTGCAATCTAGTTGAGAAATGTATGTCGACAATTGTAGACTTACGGTTATATGATTCTCCAGAATCTATATATCAATATATAGTTGATGGAAATATCGTTACCCATAGTGACTGCTCACGATTTCCCAATGCGATTGAGTCGGGTATTCCGATGTCCCGGCCATTGTGTGCACTATGACCTGGGTTGGTGGAGGTTTCCCATCCACTGGGTGTATACTACCCATTAGGTGTCTGCCATCGTGAAGTTGACTTGCATTTACTGATTCACATGCCTTGATATCATTGATTGTGATAAGCTGAATCTTGATGTACTTTTGCCATACATCTCCCCTTGTTGCTTTGAACGGGGAGTGGAGTGGATTTTTTTGGTACCTTCGCTCTTTCAGGCGTACTTTGCAGGAATGTAGGATTGTGTGACACCTTTATAGTCAGTAAATGAATCTGGCAGGTTATTTGCAATGTGTTGCAAATCTTCTGAACGCATAGTTCAGATCTTTGAGTACGTGGAATTGAGGCAGAAATGTGTTGAACATTCCACTAATTTCCTGGCATTCTTTATGGTACTTGAAATCTCCCCCTAATTCCTGGAAATATTCCTCATGAATCAGCATACTGGCCTTGAATAACTCCCCATGCGAGGGGCTCGAGGTATTGATAAAAATACAGTTATTCCACACATAGATTCCAACTATATGTTGAGGGGCCAATGATGTATGTCGGGTGGTGATATTGGTATGCAACCGAATTACCGTAGATAGGAAATACTCAAAGATAGAGGGGAATAATATTACGCAGTTCTATCATGAGTGTGTAAAACCGCATGACTCCAATGTAAAGTTGGTAAATTACAATTCCAAAGTAAAGATAATGCAATGAGCTTAACTCTTTGGATATGATTCTACCAAACCATTTTGAGTCTAGACATTAGGACAAATTTGTAAACTTGCATCAAAGGGCCATAGAGAAAGCACTCAAGGAAAATTCTGCAATGTTATCCATTCGATTTGCTTGAAATCGATGTCAGGATAATGAGCCAATGGTTTTGTGTGAATAAAGCACACACTTAAGACCATCATGTAGATATGTCTTTTAGAACCATGGAACACCTGAATGGTCTAGTCAATGGATGGGAAGAGCCACACTTACCTCAACTTGATGCATTCAAGGAGTCTGAGTGGTTCAGCGACTTTAAGGTGTGCGAGCCTTAAGATTAGCTTCCCTATTTCACTTGCTGTGCACATGAAATCCAACTGTTGTTAGAATTTAGCATCATAATAATCATAAACTATTGGAATTGCTGATAGTTTCGATTTCAACCCAATGTCTCGATGACCAAGGCGAGTATGCCAAGTTTGTCATGTACAAGACACTCTGGAAAACTATCGCGTATGCAACATGTTCTACGGTTGAATCGTATGTTATCCAGATGATACACAGAGAATGTGCTTGCCATATCCGCTGCATATGGTAAAGAGAAGTTATTTCTCTTTGTTGTCATCATAAGTTTCTCTATGGAAACTATTTTGACGGATACCTCCATAGTTTAGTAGGGTACAAGTTAAACCTGGGAAGCAATAAAGCATCCCGACGTTACTCGAGTACCGACGGGGATAGTAAATATGACTCGACTTGAGCCAACAAATACCTCATTGCGTCTAGCGATTTTAAAATATCTCCCATCTCTCAACGAGAGTGGAAACATTTCACTTCACTGAGTATAGAGTTCGTGGTGCATATGTCCACATGGCACAAATCATCTTTCATCGGACTGACCCCCATAGAAATCTATATATAGACATGAAGATTATCAAAATTAAAACCAAAGTCAGATATATAGAATACATACAAATGTATTTGTACCAAAGTGCTGATACAATATATTATGATATACAATATATGATGACTACAATACTCATGTTCTTATTAGAGGAACATAAATGGACATAAATTATATTGATCACTGAGGAGATTGAGAGACTGTTCATAGTCTCCAAACATGCCGGTTGAGGCATATTCAGCCATCATGTTCTCTGTGCCCAAAGGGTCCCATCACCTTTGGTGATGTTGGGTTGAAGGTTGAAGTGAGCTTCAAACCTTTGCCCTTGAGTTCCTTTGTATCTCAGGGATTGCTAATACAGAATAATCAGATGCGGAGATCTGAATCGATATAATGCCTTATGATGCATAAGGCAACATATTTATTCTGTTAGTCGTTGTTAATTGGAAAGAATGAAATTCAAACCGGGCTACTTCTTGGATAGATGCATGCATGCAAAAGCATGCTCGAGTCCTGGATGGCATGTGGCAGCGTTTGATGTCACGAACGCCATCCAGAAGCAGGACATCGAGCGCGCGCTGCATTGCAATCGATGCAGGGTCTTGGCTCCGCCGCCAGTTACCGAGTGCTGTGTGTGGGCTGCCGCCACCATGCACACAACCACAACCATCATTTTTCAAGTGCCTCTATAACCGCCACTTTGGAGCGAAGGAAATCTCTCTCGGTGGTAGAGCGTGCTGATAATGTG